GGAGAATTCGAATCGTGTCGACCGGCCAGGCCATGGGCACAGTCGCCAAGGAGAACTCTGTGGTCATCTTGTCGACGAGACTGACGAGCACGTCGGGCTCGTGCGGCTCAACAATGTAGCCATAGGCCATCTTCAAGATGGTTGCCGCAGTCGTGCTGGATCTTGGTCAGACATGCACGTTTTGTTCTCGCCATGGTCATGCAAACTCACGTCTTGAAGTGCTGTAGCCACTTCTCCGGCTCGTGCAGCGTGCGCACGAGCTGTCGGTTCACCTCGAGCTCCTGGGCCTGATAATAGTGTGCTGCCGCAGCCTTGGTGCCGAGTTCTCGGTGCATGAGCTTGCGGTACCTGCGGAAGACCTCGGTGTTGCCCTGGCTGATGACTGTCTTGTCGTAGCCGCAGAACTCGTTGGCAAAGACCATGCTCGGCCGACCGGAGGTCTTGCTGGCGAACTTTTCGAGGAGGTCATGGGCCATCTGCTGGTCATTGATGAGAATGAGAGTCTTGCCGAGCACGGTCACCGAGCTGATAGGGCCATAGAGGTCCTTGTGCTTGGCCCAGTGCTGGTGCTCGGCCATATCGATGGGAGGAAAGTCGTTCACATTGCCAACAATGGGGAGCGGTTTGGGACCTGGTGGCAGGGGGAGGCGGCGTCTCTCGTTCAAGTATTGGTAAACAAGGTAGCTCAGGAGAGCCACAGCAGCCCAGGGTAGTAGAAGCGATGCTGCCATGATGTTGCCCTGGCAGCTGGTTCACGTGTGTCGGAGGGGGGACAGGGTGAGTAGCGAGGCAGGTGAGTGAGGCTCAGAATGAGAGAGAAGAGGAAGAAGAAGTGGACGAGGACAGTAACGAGGTCTGCAACGACGGACACAGAGTCTACATCAGGCAAACAATCGGCATAATCACAGATTTCATGATTGGCCGCTCACATGTCATGCAGGCGGCGGTCAGCCGTGTCGAGGAGCGTCTTCGGTGCCGTGGGTTCGCGATGTGCCGACTTGGCGGCCTCGGTGGGGTTAAGTGCTACCTGTGTGCAGATGGCGACTGGTCGTCTCCATCGCATAAAGGTGCCATATGTGGGCGAAGGGAAGTCATTGGATGTCGGATGCACCGTGACATCTTGCTGCACGAAAAGGGCCCTATGCATCGTTCACTGTTGCCGCGGCTTGCATTGCGTAGCCGTGCAAGTGAGTGATGGACATGCGTGCCGCCGGGCTCCCTGATGGAACGATGAGAGTGATGGCGTTTCGTAGGGAAAGCCATTGGCTGATGTCGATGTGTTGTTCGACGTCGACGTCCTGCTACCCAGTAGGATTGAGTTGAAGGTGGAAGGGATGGTGTTGAGCTGAGACCTCTGAGCGTCGATACTTGGCAGGCAGGCAAGGCAGGGTACCTCAAGCTCCAGCCACAGATGCTCGGTACCTAGGTACCTACCCAGGAAGCTAAGGCAAGCACGGCGAGGTACCTCTGAGGTAAGTGGAGGCATCGCATCGCGTAAGTGACGAGGCAGGCCCGTGACGAGGCAGGCCCGTGACGTAGGCGGAACGCGCCAGCTACAGCAGGCGGCCGACGCTTTCAGTCTTTCAGTGGGCGACCCCGCCATCACCATCGCTGCAGCCTGGTGACATGGTGACCTCCCATCCCAGTAGTCGCCCCCCGCCCCCCATCCTCCACCCACCTACCTCCATGTCCGCGTGAACCCCATCCGGTGCATCATGCGTGCTGGACCAAGATTTCCATTCTTGTACTCGAGCCTCTCTCTCGTGTAAGCCTTGCATTTCTGAAGCACCTCCAGCCTGTGCTTCCTCTCCTCGTCTGCTCTACCATCACATCCGTCGATCGTCCAGCCAGACACGGCTGTACCATGACCTCAGACACCCCGCCTTCAGCAGGGGCCTCTCGCGATGGAGCTACTGCCAAACCACAGAGAAGCTCATCGCCATCGGGCAGCTACTATGCCTTGAGTGACGACGACGAGGGTGAATACAACACCATCACCCACACCGAGACGGGACGTGGTGTCAAGCTGCTCTTTTCCAAGAGCAAGGTGAGCGACCTACTGCTTTCTACGAGCGACCTGCTGCTTTCTACGAATATGCTTTCCCTGCCCCTCATCGTCTAACCCATCACGCCACCCCAGGTCTACGTCCACCCAACCCCATCTGCCAAAGACAACATGCCAGGCTACATCGCTCTGCTCCAGCAGAAAGGTCACCGAAATGGCCGGCCCCTTTCCTCCTCCTCGCTCGAGCCTGGCTCCGTCGCCTCGTCAGATCTCCTCCTCGCCTGGCTGCCCGAAGCATCGCTGGGCGCTTCCGAAAGCATCTACGTCAAGGTCGACCTCAGCGACGCCGAGTCGCCCCCCAAGCAATCCTACCTCGTGCCCCCACCGCCGACCGTCACCGCCCACCAGGGCTCCATCGGCCACTACGCCTTCGCCATCCCCGTCAGCGCCATCTATTCACTGCTCGTCCGCCCCCCGAGCCTGGGCTGGTGGTACGGCTCCCTGATCATCAACTCGAGGGCCGGCGACAGCTTCCCGGCCCTCTTCTTCCACGATGGCGAATGCCAGAGCACCATCCTCAAGCGGAAGCAGCGCGCGCGCGAGAACTTTGATCCCTTTGGCGACAAGGGCGAGATGTTCTGGGGCGGCGACGAGGTCCTGCGCTGGCTGCGACGCTACATCGACATTCAACGCTCCGAGGCCGAGCCCAACATGTACCTCGTCGAGCCGAGCAAGGAAGACAGCGAGGCCTTTGGCGGCAAGCTGACGTCGAGTCAGACGCAGATTGGTCGCAAGGACAGCACCACGGGCATGAACGTCCAGGGCGCTGCCGGCGCAGCATCGTCACGCGGCGCGGGACCCGATGCCCAGATGGACCCGTTTGTCAAGTTTGTCAAGGAGACTGGGTGGAACATTATGGAAAAGTTCAGCAAGGTCACGACCATGACACGCCGAGCCGCCCAAGACGCGATCCAGAACCCCAACGTCCCTCCCCAGATGAGGCGGCTGCTGCGGAACCCAGAGGTGCAAACCATCCAGGACGAGTTTGACAGCGCGAGGATCTATCTGGCTAGGTGGGCCATGGGCATTGCCGAACAGAGCGAGCGCGATCGCCGACAGAGGATCTGGACCGCTAAGGACGTGCTGGAGCTCGAAGATACAGACGTCGGCGAGTTTGAGCTGCTGGATGGTACGAGCAGCCTGTCAATGGAGGAGCGCAGGAAGCCCGTCACGGCCAAGGAGTGGAGTACCTTTTTCGACGCGCGCACCGGGCGGTTGACCGTGACTGTCGATGAGGTCAAGGAGCGCATCTTCCACGGAGGTCTCGATCCGGACGACGGCGTGCGCAAGGAGGCTTGGCTGTTCCTTCTGGGTGTGTACGACTGGCACAGCACGGCCGATGAGCGCAAGGTCCAGATCAACTCGCTCAGGGATGCCTTTGTCAAGCTCAAGGGAGCCTGGTGGGAGAGGCTCGTGGATCTGGGCGGTGAAGGCGACGAGGGCGAGTGGTGGCGCGAGCAGAAGGGCCGCATCGGTCAGTACACCACGGCGACGGAAAGCCTGACTTTGTGCTGACAGCCACCACAGAGAAAGACGTTCACCGTACGGACCGCAACGTCCCGATTTTTGCCGGGGAAGACATCCCCCATCCAGACCCTGACTCTCCCTTCGCCGAGGTCGGCACCAACGTCCACCTCGAACAGCTCAAGGACATGCTCCTCACCTACAACGAGTACAACAAGGACCTCGGCTACGTCCAGGGCATGTCTGACCTGCTGGCGCCCATCTACGCCGTCATGCAGGACGACGCCATTGCGTTCTGGGGCTTCCAGCACTTCATGGACCGCATGGAGCGCAACTTCCTCCGCGACCAGTCCGGCATGCGCAACCAGCTCCTGGCCCTCGACCACCTCGTCCAGTTCATGGACCCCAAGCTGTACAAGCACCTGCAGTCCGCCGACAGCACCAACTTTTTCTTCTTCTTCCGCATGCTGCTCGTGTGGTACAAGCGCGAGTTCGCCTGGATGGACACGCTGCACCTCTGGGAGGTCCTGTGGACCGACTACCTCAGCAGCAGCTTCCACCTCTTTGTCGCGCTCGCCATCCTCGAGAAGCACAGGGATGTCATCATGACGCATCTGCAGCACTTTGACGAGGTGCTCAAGTACGGTAGGTGGAGATTCTTGCCCCCCTTGCTGAAAAGCAAAAAGCACAAATCTAACGCACGCCAGTCAACGAGCTCTCCAACACAATGGACCTCGACTCGACCCTCATCCGCGCCGAGGCCCTCTTCCGCCGCTTCAAACGCCTCGTCGAAGCCGTCGACAAGAAGGGCAACTTCCCGCCACCCCGCCTGCAGAGCGCCGAAGAGGTCATCCAGAGCCCCGAAGCCGCCAGGGTACGGCCCGCCAGCGCCAGCGCCAGCGCCAACGCGCCAGAGGACGCGTCGGCCTCGACGCCGAGTGCCGCCGCCGCCGCCGCCGCCAAGGGAAAGAGCCCCGCCGCCAAGACGGACGAGCCGGACGAGGCGCGGCCCAAGATTATCACGCCGGAGCTGCGCCAGCTTCTGAGCCGCAAGGTCGAGGTGCTGCCGCGCAAGACGGTCGCGAACCTCGGCGACGGGCTGCCTGCGGAGAAGAGGACGTAGAATCGGCGTGACGTTTGGGCTGGCGGAGAGCGTAGTGACAAGTCGGGAGAAATGGGATTGGTTTAGACAGATTCGGCGTTTTGGTTCGCGGGTGCGACGGGGGAACGTTGCAAAAACGAGGCAAAGCGGGTGTTCACTTCGTACCATGTACTATCAACTGATGATTTTGTCTTTTCCACAATTCTGCCAAGGCAAGAGGAATCTTCTCCTCGAGGAGGCTCCTCGTCTCACCGTCCATGATGATTGCGTCAGACGAAATCCAGTCTACGCTGGTAGAATGAATTGCCATGCAGTGCAGTGCTGAACCGCAGATGTAAACTCTATAATGCTCCTCTTGCTCCCGCTCCTCCCAAAACACGCCAACAGAGCCATCTCACCGACGGAACCGCCCCAAACGCCTTCGCCGCGCCCAGCCCCGGACCGACCGCCTCCGAGCCGACGACGATAATGCAGACCGCTAATCAAAGGGGTTATATCTATGCTGTCTCCCCGTCTCGCTGTACGGCGGCGGCGGCGGTACTCCGTGAGGCGGAGCCGGCGCCGCCGCAAGCCGTGATGACGAGGACGTCGCGGACGCGGCCGAGGGGGCGCGGGCGAGGGCCGACGCGGCGGCAAGGGGTTTCGCGGACCACTGGGCCGTCTTGGCGACCATTTTGGCAAAGTACTGCTGGATGAAGGATTCGCTGTGCACGGTGAGCCACTGTATCACGTCAGGGGGGGGGGGGGCAGAAAGGGAGCAACACGTACGTGTAGTAACTGTGGTCCGAGTCGTGGCTCTGGACGAGGTTGTGCGCCAGCTCGTGCGCCATGACAACCCACCACCAGACGGCCGCCTCGGCCTTGGCCTCGCCCTGCCTGGCGCCCGTGAGCTTGTCGGCGTGCAGCTGCAGGAAGAAGCGCAGGTTGCAGAAGATGCTGCCGCTGCTGTTGAAGGCAATGGTGCCGCCCCTGTCGTCGTAGAAAATGTGCAGCACCTTGGGCGACAGCGCGTAGACGCCGCCGACCTCGGTGAGCAGGGCCGCGAAGGCGTTGATGGCGCCGGCGTACCGCTGCAGGAAGGGCCCCGGCTCGAGCGTCATGTCGCGCGACGTGAAGACCTTCATGCCGTTGGAGGCCTCGGCTGCGAAGGCTATGTTCTTGGCCGACGTGCTGTCGCAGTACGTCGCCTGCTCCTTGACCTCGTTCATGCTCGGCGGCGAGAAGAGCTGGTTCGAGTCGTGCGACCGCGTCGAGTTGATGGCGTTCAGAAGGTTCTGCTCTACGGTGGCCGGGCTCGTCACCCTGCCATCATCCTTGCCCTTCTGCCCGCCGCCGGTGGACGGACCAGGACCAGGCGGCGGCGGCAGAAGCTGTCGGCCGTCTTGCGCCGGCTTGTCAAGCTGGCCGTTGCGCCTGTCGTCGTCGTCGTCGTCGTCCTCGGGTGCGTCGAATCCCAGCCGCCGCGTCAGGTTGGAGAACAAGCCCTTGTTCTTTCTCGTCGGTGGCATCAAGCTAGGCGGACGCTGACCCTCCTCGGGGCTCTCGTGTCCGAACGAACCCGGCATGACCGGCTCGGGTGTCTTGGCAGTGTGCCGCGCAGCCTCGGCCGCCTGAGCCTGCTGCTGGTCCCATTGCCGCTCCCTGTCCTGGATGCGCTTCTGCTCTGCGTCCAGCGCCTTGCGCCTCTCCTCCTCGGCGATCCTCGCCTCCGCAGCCTTCGCTCGCAGGATGCGGTCGACGTTGTAGCCGCGGGCCCGCAAGCCGAGTAGGTCGAGGGTCAGGAACGGCTCGAAAAAGAGGTAGGCCTGCTGGTTGTGCCGCGTCAAGAGCAGCTGGCAGATGGCCTGGCCCACCTGATACATGTCCGGCTGGCCGTCGGCGGCGACGTACAAGACCCAGCCCGCCCGCGTCTGCACGCTCGCCGCCGAGCGCTTCTCCGTGTGCGTCTTGCTCTGACCTCGCAACGTGCGTCTGAGCGCCACGTTGGTCACGAGTTCAACGATGAGGTTCTTCTCGAGCCACTTGGCGTCATGTTTGAACGCTTCCCGTCGGTAGGTCGCGTATTCGTGGAGGAAGATCTTGCTGCGCTCCACAACGTGTTTCCGGAGGGCTGCCGCCCTGTCTTGCTTATCGACGTGGGGACCGATCCTGACGTTCTCCTCGACGAGGCTGCTAAGGTTCTGCGCACCGAGAGCCAGGTAAAAGTTCTCGAGCGCTTCATCCTCCGGCGCCGTGAGCAGATGATCCTTGAACAGGCGGTAGCTGATAATGTCGTCGAGCAGGACGATGCGGTTCGCCGACGCCAGCTGATACTGCTTGATGGGGGCCTCCTCATCCTCCACATCGACAAGAGGACCCTGCGTCGTGGATGGGATTTCCTTGGCACCGAGGAGGAACGGCGACACCGACATTTTCCTGAAGAGTTCCTTGTCCCTCTTGAGCTGGGGGAGACTCTCCGCCAGAGACCGGAGCAGCGTCATGTACTTGTCGGGGCTCTGCAAGATGCTCAGCAGCCGCGCCGGCTCGCTGCACGCAAGCTGCGCAAGCTCTGGTTTTGTCGGCTCCGTCTTGGCGCCGCATTTGAAGAGGAACGCGTTGGCGTCGCCGCCAAAGTCGACAAAGTCAAAGATGTTGCCATAGGTCGTCGAGCTCCCCAGGTACACCCGCTGGGGGCTGATGAGCGTCAACGTGCTGCCACCGGCACCCGGCTTCTCCTTGCTCGCAACCGCTCCGTCGCGAGCGGGGCGACGCACGGGGACGATGGGGGCGTCCCGCAGTCTCGACAAACTTTGTTCTCCGAGGTCAGCAATACGAAGGGCAAAGTAGGCAAAGAGCTTGGCAGCCTGTTGCTCATCTTGCGGTGGCCTGGCCAGCAAGCGCGACACACACTCGTAGATGGGCGGCTCCTTCAGGACGCCAAACTTGTTGGCGTGGATGTGAAGGTCCTTTCGCAGAATGTCAAAGTGCAGAATCGCAGCAGCCTCGTTGGTGAAGCACATGCTCGGAATGACGCGCTTCTTCTCGTCGCCCTGGACAGGAAGAATTGCCTTTTGGCTGCCAGCCAGGTTGAACGACCCATACCCGTGGATGTGGTGGTTGGCGATGAAGAAGGTCATGGCTTGAACACGCAGCGCCTCGTCTTGCGACGTCATCAGTTCTACGAGCTCGGGCACCGAAGGATACGCCCGCAAGCCCAAAGTCGCGAGGAACAGTCCCTCCGTGCCGGAGGCCCGGAAGCTGCCTGGAGGGCCGGGCCACTGCAGCAGCGGCAGACCGAGAGCTCTGTGCGAATCCTTGGGCTCAAACAAGTCGCACACGCGGTACAGCTGAGTCGAGCCCTTGGTCGGTTCCAAGCCCTTGGGGCCAGCCTCGGCGGGGCAAATGCGCGACTCCTTCAGCTTCTTCATATCCGCCGCGGGAATGTCATCCTTGACAGATGCCAGGTACTTGATGAGTTCGAGGTGACTCCATCGCTTCTCTTCGCCGTTTGCGGTGGGACTCAGGAGCCTGGTGAAGATGGTATCGAGATCGAGCGTTTTCCTGACGCCAATGGCAACGAGAAACTTCTCCTTGAGGTTTTGACAATGCTCAATAACCGGCAGGTCGTCAAAGAGCTTGACGGTCGCAAAGAACGACTCGGTAGGCTTCCGCATGCCCAGCTTCGTCGGCATGACCGTGTGCGCTTGCAGCAGACCGATGACGGCAGACTTGTGCTTTGGGTTCAGATTATCCCACGCCTTGGACAAGATGAGGAGCACTTGGAGAGCGAATTTGGGCGTCTTCGTCATGTTCTGGTCGTCTGCCTTGTCAGAGAGGGACATGAGCAGGAACCTCAGCCAGGGCAAGACTTCGAGTGGCTCCCAGCCGAGCGCCTGCAGCTCCGGAGGCGCGCAACTGCTGGTAAAGGCGTGAGGGATGGTGGTGGGCGGTATAGGGGCGTGCGCAGGGATCTTGTTGACCACGAGGAAGTTTGTGATGGACCCGAGAGCAATGATCTCACCCTGATCGCTACCGTCTTGTGACACGGTCGCCACCGCAACATCCAGCAGGCTGGACTTGCTCGCAGGATCCAGCTCGCCGTTGAGTGCTCTCTTACCAGCCCAGCTGATGAAGTTGATCAGCTGCTCCCGATTCATAGCCTTGGTCTCGAGCTCTTTGCGCACGTCCTCCACCGTGATCGAACTGATCAGCCCAAAATCGATCAGCTTCTTGACGAACGGGTCGTTCTTGAGCTCCACAGGCACGACGGGGATGCTATCCACGAATTTGCTGAGCTCCTCGGATCCGATCCGCACCTTGGAGGTCTGCATGACACCACGCGAAGAGAAGACCTCAATGGAGGCCTTACGATACGACGTCCAGAAGGCTTCCTCGATGATCTGTGCCACCTGACCGCTGGGCGTCGAGTCACCAAAGGTAAACGTCTTCAAGATGTGAATGGCTTCAGGCATGAACTTGGCAATGTCCTTATTCGTAATCTTGCCACCCTTGTCGGCGGCCCTCCTGACCTTCAGGTCAAGATCACTCATCTCGTTGGCGAACGCCAGCCGCGTCATGATACCGGCAGCCCGAAGCATCTCAATGTTCCAGGAACGGACCCAGCGTGCGTTCAGGTCAATGGCCTCACGCTCCACGGTCGGAATGACAGACTGTGCCGAGATGTGCATGCCCGCACCCGTTGTCTGCGTCGTGGGAAAGCCGATGAAGATCCGGCCGCCGGGCTTCTTGCTCGGCAGGACAGACGCAAAGACGTCGGCTGATTTAGAGATGACGTCGGAACTCGAGCTCTCCGTCGCCTGCGTCTCGTCGTATGACGAAGTCAGGATGGACAATTTTGTCGTCTTCGGAGGCGGCTTCTTCGTGGCACGTTCCAGTTCTGCCGAGAAGGAGGCAGACACCTTGGTCTTGATGACCGCGGACGTGACGCGGAGGAAGATGGAGGAGCTTGACGCCTTGGTCACGTCCTCCGAGATGGTCTCCTGGGCGACGGCTTCCTCCTTGTGCGCCTTGCCACGCAGGCCAGCCTGCGAGGCACTCGACGTCAGCCTAGAGAAGAAGCTTCTCAGAGAGGGAACCTCGGCGCCCATGCCGTACTGGTCGGACTGCTTGGCAGCGGTCGCCCTGGGCTTCCAGCCAATGACGCCCATAAAAGAGGCGTCGATCTGTGCACTCGTCCGGTCGACGGTGTGTACCGTCATGAGGCCGTCGCGGGTCCGCGTCTCGAGGTCCCTTGGTATGGGCACCTCTACACTGGGCGAGGCCTTCTTGTGCAGGGACAAGACCTTGTAGTCGTCGATCCAGAACTCGACGTGCTGCAGGGCGACAAACGTCAAGCTTGTGGCCAGAAACTGGCTGACAGAGAGGAGATGGGGGAGAGGCGTCGTCGTGTTGCGGTAGTCGAGCACAAAGATGGTATCGGGAGACTGCTGGTCGGCGGGCAGCGTCGTCTTCTTGGTGAACAGGGCGTTTCCTTTCCAGTAGAAGGCCATGGCCTCGTTGCCCGAGCTCACAAAGGGCTCCTCGCAGTCGGCAAAGACGCTGTAGAAGCCCACGCCAAAGGCACCAATCTTGGTCTCGTCGGGGTTGCCCTCGGCTATCCTCTTCAACCGCCCCCAGTCTGTCTTGGTAAAGGGTTGGCCGTCGTTCTGGACCACGAGGCGGCGGAGCGTGTGATTTGTAATGACGTGCTTGAGGAGCTCGGAGCGATCGGTCGTGTTGGGCAGCGCAACAGAGGTGGAGGGCATCGTCTCCCACTTGACCTTGACGGTCGTGGCCTGGGCGTCGGCGGCGTTCTGGATGAGTTCTCGGAGAGTTGTCCATTCGCCAGAGTAGCGGGCAAGAACCTTGTCGATGAGGGCTCTGGTATCGACAGTGACGGCTTCTTCGTCCTCGCCATCCCGCATGGCGGTGGCGCGGAGGCGCGAATAGTCCATGGTTGTGGTGGAAAGGGGATGGTAGGATCGAGGGTAGAAGTCGGAGGGGGTATATCAAAGGTGGAAAGTTCGCATGGTCTAGGCCAGCATCAGAAGCAAGAGGAGCCCTGTAGGATGCGTGGTCCGTCGAAGTCTAGGTACAGGTATGCGTCGAGATGACAGAGGTGTCCAGGTTGCTCGGATCGGAGGGTCGGGTCGGCATGCACAATGACACCGTAACGAAAGCTGAGACGTATGAATAGTACAGGTACAGGAAGAGGGCGGCCAACAGTGTGAGGCAGGCCAGCGTTTTGTTGTCAAAGAACGACCTTGCCACTTGAGTCAACTCTGCTGTTCCAGAAGCTGCCGTGCGAAGATGCAAGGTCAAAACTCAGGCTGTTCGCGTCGGCGTTGCGTCGTGAGCTCGGTGAGTTCTGGCCCCAGCCCCAACGCTGCTGAGGCCAGGCTTCCCTCCATGTGTTGCCTCGTGACGCAACGCGCCTCGCCACAGGCACCGGCGCGCGCTGGGGTTGGTCGTGACAGGGGTCCGATAAGATAACCAGGCACCCTACCGATGAGGCTGACGGGCAGTTGCTGGCGTCACACCGAGCCCCTGAATGACGCCTGCAATTAGGGGCTACGTGCCTGGGTTTGGGGGCTACGTGCCTGGGTCTGGGGGCCACGTGCCTGTGGTCAGGGGCTTTGTGCCTGCAATTAGGGGCTACGTGGATCACGGATTCACAGGCAGCGTTCCTGGCGAGTACGAAAAAAGAAGAAAAGGAAAAAAAGAAAAAAAAAATTGACAAAATCGGAACGGATTCAATGCATTACAAGTTGCCATGTATAGTACAACAGAGAGACCATCTCGTTTTGGAGGTCCCGTCACAGACGCCTCCAAGTTCCAACCAAACGCCTCATTTCGCCATAATGTCCACATAGCGTCCGCTCTTCCTCGCCTTCTTCGCGCCAGGCCTACGCGGTCCTGCAGCGCCTATCAGATCATCAATGCTGCTGGCATTGCTCATGCTCGTCGTCGGCCGGCTCGGCGGTCCGCTCGGTGGCCCTGTGCTAGAGTTCGACACCGACCGCGCCATGGCTGGCGGGCCGGCCGGAATGTCGAGGCTCTCGCGCGAAGGAGCCTTTGACAGGCTGCCTGCGCCGATGGGCATAGGCGGCCGAGGGGGTCCGCCAGGGGGTCCCATGGGCGGCGCCGATGACGAGGGAGGCGGGGGCGTGCCGGTCGACTTGGGCGGTGGAGGTGTAGCCGTCTTGGCCGGTGTCTGCTCGGCCCCGGCCTTCTTGTTGACCCATCGCTTCTGATCGGGGTCGTAGACGAAGCTGCTCGACTCGCCCAACTTGGCACGGATCGGCTTGTTGCCTTGGTTGGAATCCGGCATGGCGTCCTTCTTGCCACCCCACCAACTGCCGAAGCCCCATCCCTTCTTGCCTGCGCTCTGTTCGGCTGCTCTCTTGGCTGTACTGCTGTTAGCTTTGTCGTGACAGAGACAAGGGGCATGCCCAGGGTGCCATCTTACCATCTTCTTCGGCGGCCTTCCTGAACATCTCGTCATTCTCCTTATCCTTCTCCGACTTGGATTTCCCCTGCGGCCGCAGCGCGGGAATATCATCCTCGTCGTCATCCATGAAGCTCTTCTTCTTTGGCTTCGGCTTGTCATCATCGTCATTGTCGTCGTTGGATGGCTCAACGCCCGGGTCATAGGTCGGTGGCTCGTAGCTGTAGGGCTGGTACGAAGGTGCTTCGTATCCTCCGCTAGCTGCAGCATCCTCGGGCTCGGCCTGTTGGGATTCCGGGCCTGCGTTCGTGCCAAATGACGGAGGTTCATAGCCGTACGAGGGCGGCTGGTACCCCTGATCCTGCTGAGGAGTGAATTGGGTGGGCTCATCGGCAGGTGGCGCTGGCGATCCCTGGTGCGTGATGACGGGAGCTTCTCGCAAGCCGCCGTACGGACCATAGGCAGACGGAGCGGGGTCAGGCTGGGGTGTATGGACGTCCTGGGGCGCACCGTAGGGTGCAGGGTTGTAGGCTTGCGGTGTATAGCTGCCCGCGGCAACACCAGACTGCGAGTCGATAGAGGTGCGGGTCGGCGCATCAAAGGACGCACGGCCATAGTCGTTCGACGGCTGAGTCGACTGCGCCGCAGGCGTATAACCCGACGTCGGCTCATACGAAGTCGTCGGTGGAGACGGCTGCGCTCCCATGGGTGCATAGCGCGATGCTGCTCTTGTCCCCTGTGCCAGTGCTACAGGAGCAGTGACTGGGTAGCCGGGATTGTTGTTCCCGTACACGTCAAAGTTCGAAACGGAAGGAGACGGGCTGATGGTAGGGGTGCCTCCGGCAATGCGGCCGAAGGGCCCAGTCTCCGCGCCAGGCTCGCCGGGCGTGGCGGTGCCAGAGCCGTCGGCCTCGTCGCCGGCAACAAATTTGTTAAAGCGATTCCACATGCTGTCCGAGACCTTGTTCATGCTGGGTTTGGAGATCCAGGACGAAGACTCGCCCTTGGGCGCCTGCTTGAGCCTCTTGGACAGGTCATCTACCGCAGCCTCGAGCAGGGGATGATGGTACGGAGACCTCTTTGTCTGTGCAGTGATCGAGTTGGCAATGACATCGCAGTATTGCAGCGCCTTGTCCCTGAAGCCATGCTCTGCCAGAGTTGCGGCATGCTGGAGCTTATAGGCTGCGAGGTGCGGCACGCCGGCCGAGTTGGCCCCGTTCGCAAGCGAAAGGCCATACTCGAAGACTTCGCTGAGCAACAGTGCCTCTGTCTCCTTGCCGAACTGTTCGGCTTGAGTCTTGTGGTCAGCACCCAGGAGGACAAAGCTGGCTGTCTGGTCGTCGAGACCCCCAAATACTATCGTCTTGCGGGCAAAGAGGAAGCAAATGTGTGCGGCTTCGGCTCTGCCATATGTCGACAAGAGATCACCCAGTGCGCTCAGCGCCCTGGTGTCGTCCGGGCTTCGGTTGCTGAGCACCAACCCCAGGGTCTCGCGCCATTTGTCGAGGCCATCAAGGGCGTCCTTGGCTGGCTCGGCCGTCGCGGCCGTGGTCATCAGCTGGCGGCCAGCACGAGCATGACTGGGAACCAGCTCATCGACACACTCATCGAAATTGCCTGACAGGACCTTGTAAAGTGCAGCAATCGACTCATTGTTATGCCCCGGGTGGTTGACCTCTTTGCGCACAAACTCTTGGGCGACCTGCTTGTACAGATCCGGCGACACCGTGTTCGAGATGAGCATGGCATGACCCCAGAGCCTCTTGTCGACGGCTGCCCAGACCGCTTGTTCCCGATCACCAGCGAGGAGGTGCTTGCGGATGGAGACGACTGTTTGGGGGTCAACACCGTCTGCCTGCATCTGCGTGGAAGTGGCTGGGAACGCAACACCAGCTGCGCCATCCGCGTAAAGAGGAGCTGCCTCTGCTGCCTCATCCTTTTTTGCTTCTGGCGAGAGAATGTTGCGCACGGCGGCCTCGACCTCTGCACCGCCTTCGAGAGCGCCATCGAATTCGATGAACGTCCTGAGAATCTTCCACAGCAGGACGCGCTCAGTCATTCGCTTGTCTTCGTGGGTGATTTGAGAGCTGTACGTCTGACCTGGCAAGTTTGCCTCCAGTGACTCGATTCCGGCCGTCAGCCAGGAAATGGTCTCCTTCTTCTTCGATTTGCCCTTGAGAGGCCCGGGGAATTTGGCCAGCCGATCTTCGAGAGGCTCAATGTCCTTGACCTGCTTGACGCGAACTTCGCCGGGCGTACGCACAATCATGGGTGCCGTTTGGCCCATACCGTAGCGTGGGATCTCCTTGGGGAAAGATGTGATGATGGTGCCACCAATACCCCACGAGAAGACAGGTGCTCCCTTCCACCTCTTGAGGGGGTCATTCTCACGTCCATCGGTAGGGGCGACCATGTTCAAGCTCTGAGAAGGAGCTCGGTGGCGACCCGTGCGAGGTGCTGCGGCATAGGAGTGCTGAGCACTGGCGGGCTGCGCTGCTTGCGGAGGAGCGGCGCCATGCGAGGACGCCGGACGTGCAGCAGCTTCACTGGGTTGGTAGCGGTTTTGGAGTGAGCCAGGCGATTGTGTCTGCGACCTCATCGGGGGCGCGAACCTCTGCTCGGGTGAGAGGGGGTTCGATTGCGGCTGAGGCGTGTAGTTGGCCGCAGCTCTCTTGGGCGGCGACAACATGGATGGGCCATACCCATGGGCGGACGGCGGTGGGGTGTGGCGTGCAAGAGGTGGTGATGCAGGAGTCGCGCCAAGAGAGGTATACGCATCAATAGGCTGAGGCGACTGTTCGACCCTAGCACCTTCGTCTTCCTCAACCTCCTGCGTCGGCGGCAGCGACGACACGCGGTTGACCCTCGGCTCAAATTGAGCGCTGATGCGTCGATCCTGCTGGCCGAGCTGGCCGAGCTGGCCGTGCTGGCCGTGCTCACCATTTGTGACAGGTGCAGACTGGGCTCGGTCGTGAGAAACCTCGAAGTGCGCGAGCGGGCTGGAAGTGCGAGGCAGGTGAGGGAGCACGGCGGCTGGGGGCGGCGCCGCGCTATACGTCGCCGAAGGTGGTCGGGAGGCTGGCGGGGCCGGCGAGTACCTGTTGGCCGAACCGGGCCGAGCTGTGCCATTCACAGCCGGCGCCAAAGGCGGCGCTGGAGAATAGCGACTGTTGTTGGGTATGCTCGACGTGCCCGGGCTGGTGGACTGCAAGGCTGCATACGGACTCACGCGCGGCGGCGCGACCAGTCCGGTGAGCCCGCTGGACTCAGCTCTAGGCGGAGCCGGAGGGGCCTCCTGCTTCGGTAGCTCCATGGACTGACTCGGTGGCAGAGGCGCGTACTGCGCTGGAGGCGGCCCCGGAGCCGGTCCAGGAGGCGGTCCCTGCGGCAGGGAAGCAGGACCGCCAAGAGCTGGAGACGGCAGGCGGCTGCTCTGGCGCGAGGCCGGACGGGGTCTGGAGGTCATGGGAAGGTCCTCGAAAAAGTTCTCCTTGCTCGGAGTGACAGCTCGAGGCTTCGGCCCAGCAGCTGGTCCCGCCGTGCCTGGGCTGGGAAGAGCCGAGGCAGGGCTGGGAGGAGGCAAGCCGGCAGACGGTGGTGCGGAGCTGGTCGGGCTTGGAGCGTACATGCTGGAGCTTCTGGGCGGTAGCTGCGCGGAGGGGCCTTGCACCTGAGCTCTCGGCAGCTGTTGCATACTGGCTCGCTTGCGCGGCTTGACATCCATGGGCAAGTCGTAGGGCGAGGTGTAGCCGCCCTTGTTCTTGTCGGCGAAGCTCTGGGCTTTGGAAGCCTCGGGACGCGGGGGCGGCGGCATGCCATATGCAGCTTGGCTGGGCGAGGGCTGGGACTGAGCGGCGTACGACGTTGGGGCTGGGAATGAAGTGACCACAGGCGAAGGCGCATATGCTGATGTTGGCGTCTGGGGCGGCGCCGCCGCCACAGGAACATAAGGCGACTGGGTAGCGGCAGCCTTGGGGAACGGGAAAGATGGGCTCTGCGGCGTATATCGTCCTTGCAGGCTTTGCTGTTGGGCGGCTGGCAGACTGGGTGGCTGCACAGCCGGCGCGGGTGCCGTGGTCTCGTCGTCATCGTCGTCCAAGAAGCCTTCGTCGTCACTGCCAAAGAATGCGGCGGGATCAACTGGCTTCGAGTCGCCAGTGTTATCGTCGAGCAGGAATTCGTCATCATCGTCCCCGGCAAATGCCTCTTGCCATTTGGCAGCCAGATCCTCGGTAGCGGGCTTGCTGGCGTCGTCCTCTGTAGCCAAGGCCTGCGACGGCGTCGCTTGATGCTCATCCTCCTCGGCCATCTCCTCCAGCGTATCGGCTCGCGACAGTGGGTTCGTGCCAAAGGCACCGAGTACCTGCATCGTTGACTTGCGCTCCAGCGTGGGCGGCGTATCATCGTGACCTGCATCCTGGACATTGCTGAAAAAGTCGTCGTCGGCCGAGGCTTCGTTGTCGAAGAAGGAGGCTGAGGCGGCAGTATCCGTGTGCTCGGGCGCGCGAGGGATGAGAGGCAGACCTTCCTCGAATCGCGAACCGACATTGTCCTCATCGGCGCCCGTCATGTCGCGTCCTACATACTGCGCTTGCTCCGAGAACCCATTGATATGAGGCGGTTCAGACGGGTCGTCGGCGAAGTGAGGTTGGGCTGGAGAGATTGCTCGTTCGGACAGAGGAGCGTCAAAGCCGTCCTGATGCTGCTCCGTCGCCTGGATTACATGTTGGGCCTCGGTGGCGGGAAGCGGTCGGGTCTCCGTCGACGCGCCGGGCGGGCTCGCTGGGGGAACGACCGGGAACGAGTTTGTCCTGTCAGAGGGCGGCATGAACTTGAAGGGGTCCGTGTCGGTTCGGGAGAGGTTCCAGTCGGCTTCCTCGTCATCGTGGAAGTTGATGTCATGCGACACAGTTCGGGCGAAGGAAACAGTGCTCGAGTGACCGAGAACAGGGCCGGCGGCTTGCACCTCGGGTGCTGGGGGTGATGCTTCCGTAGGCGCCGCAGTCTCGGCGTCGGCCGGTAGCGCATCGGGCTCTGCAGGAGCAGAGGTCGGATGGTCAAACACGGGCCAGTCCTCTTCAGCATCATCTTTCGCAACGGGTTCCTCTGCGAACCAGGGCCTGTTGGCGCTCTCGTCCTGGGGTATCGTGTCGGGGATCGAAGGCATGGTAGCTTCGGAAGTGGGCGTGGGTTCGGTTGGTTCGTTGATCAGCGACGCATCAAGATCGGCGGTTGCCTCGGGATGCGCGGGCGAGTCTGTGGATGATGTGGTTCTGTCTTGCGCGTAAGGCTTGGATGCCTCCAGAGAATCTTGGGCCGGTGGTGGTTGGGTGTGTGCAGGAGCGGAGGGATGGCCGTCGGCAGTGGCAGAGGCACTGCTGTTAGGCATCAGAGCGGGATGCCATGATGAGACGTGTTCGTCGGAGCTCATGTTGGCTCGACGCAGTTGATTAAGGTCGGGAACAATGGTTCCTTTCGGGGGGGGGGGGTGGCCTGATAGATGCAAAAGGCTATCTGAATGGCCAGGTCAGCCAAGGAGCTTTTGGATCTCACGATCTCAGGTGATGTGCTCGCAGCAAAAAAAACGCGACACCAGGGAGGTGGCAATCGAGATGAGGCGTGGGGACAGGAAAAGGAGGTCGCGCATAGCTGGGTAAGTAAGATGAAGGAAAACGTACAAGGACAGTCAAAGCTTGGATCTACAGAAAAGGCCAGGCCCCAAGCGCCATGTTCGATTCGTCTGGAGAAAGGGGGAGATGGTGTCGGAAGAGAACAAAGTATTAGGTGCTGGTAGAATACAGAGGGGACAGGGAGTTGAGGTACAGAGTGATGATGATAGATTGTAGCGAGGCCAAGACGGGGCGAGACAAGTGCAAGCTGGCAGCAATCCTCTGTCTGGAACGGGGAATGGAAGGCAGCACCGAGCACCGAGCACTGAGCACTGAGCACTGAGCACTGAGCACTGAGCACTGAGCATCGAGCATCGAGCAGGCATCGTCCAGTCCCGTGGCCTGTACGAGGCCACGGTGGGTCTGTCATCCTTGCCTCCGTGTCATGTTCTCCCCTGGCCCCCAGGTCCCGCGCCCAAACGAGCACGTCACCGAGGTTCAACCGGCGCATCATCCGGGCTTCCAGGTGTCCTTTTCAGCGCTTCTTCAGTGGGCCACTGTGGTCGTGCCACGGACAGGCATGCACCTTACCTGCCCACGTAACTCGGGTGGAGGTGCCGTACCTACCTACATGTAAGGTAGGTAGGTACCTAGGTAGGTAGGTAGGTAGGTAGGTAGGTAGGTAGGTAGGTAGGGAGGAAGTCACCTGTAGAGACTTTGGAGCTCGGAACCTAAGGGTCCAGCTAGCTGCAGGGAACGACCAAAAGAAAGTCAGATATGCTCATGGGATTCTGTCGAGTTCACACGGAGGGGCAACACGGCATAACGGATGCCCCGTCAATATCGAGCCATCTACATCATCAAAGTAAAATGGTCATGGTGGTTCCACAGCAATGGATGGTACATGGTAGTCGAGAGCCAGGTCGTTTGAGGCACAGTGCCTTGTCTTGCTTGTGCAGTGCCTAGGCACGTCGCAGAAAGCAATGGCCACGCGGCTGGTCCCTGAACGTCACAGCTTGATGAGCCTAGGCCTACATGTACCTACCTTAGGTAGTGCTAGGTACGGTACCTACCTAAGCAAGTCTAAGGCCACAGTGCCACAGCGAGTGTCCTCTAGTCAGTACGTACCTCACATCAGTGCACCGTCAGTCGCGAGGGGACTGCCTGCCTATTCGTTGACTGAGATGCTTCCCTGCATCCCGGTCCATCCATCCATCCATCCATCCACCCATCCACCCATCCACCCATCCACGTCGGCATCATACCTCCTGGGCAGCTCAGTTTCTGCCCTGTCGGATGCATTCAGTATACCGGTCCGAACAAGCGTCGCCCTTTTCTTGATGTATCTATTGCCTCAGCCACTTTTCTACTTTCCGGCACGAGTCTGGCCTTGAGCTTTGCAACTGCGACCAACTCCTAACCCTATTCAACTACCAGCAACCTTGACGCCGCCCCAGGCTTTGGCTCCAGATGCAGCTGTCTTGTCAGCGTCTGACGCCCCGATCGACCCAAATCATCATCACCTTTCGTCAGCTCGCCTGAGCTGTAGAGGCTTCCTCCCCGACCGGCCGCGGCATGCCTCCCAACTCTTCCTATCGTCCCGCGGAGCCGCCAGATTCGCCGAATGATTCCGATTCAGACCTCGACCTCGACATTCAGGAGCTCGACCCTGCCACCACGTCCCAACGCGGCCCCGCCCAAGCCAGACACGCCCGCGACACGGGAGAATCGCGCTCACCGAGGATAGCCCTTCGCAACCTCCGCATGGGTGGCCTGCGACGTGGGAACAGGAGTAGGGGGTACGGCGAGCTCGGCCAGGACAGAGATGGCGCCGCCGACGATTCCCAGTCTCTGCTGGGCGGTGGCCACAGGCGGTCCACTTCACAGTCCGCCGACGGCAGTCGAGCCTCCGGTGACGATGCGCCTCTGCTGTCGGGACGGTCCCAGCCGCGATCTCGGCGTCGCTCCTCGGCGCAAGAAGGCCTGGGACGCCTGGCTGCCCTCGGTTCCAGTCTGAAACTCGCGAGCTTCATGGGCGGCAGTGCAGGCCCTGGCTCGGTCAAGGACGATTCTGGAGAAGCAGAGGAGGAGGACGACCCTTCCGCGGCGCGACACATTGCCGTGGGGTCGTTACAATCGACCAAATTCCCGCCGAATCTGATATCAAACGCCAAATACACGGCCCTCTCGTTTCTCCCCGTCACGCTATACAACGAATTCTCCTTCTTCTTCAACATGTACTTCTTGCTGGTCGCCCTGTCCCAGGCCATTCCGGCGCTGCGAATCGGCTACCTGACAACCTACGTGGCGCCCCTGGCCTTTGTTCTGATGATCACCATGGGAAAGGAGGCGTACGACGACATCGAGCGCAGGCGGCGAGACAATGAGGCCAACGCCGAGGCATACACTGTCCTCCGCTTTGACGAGCCGGGCCGGGCCTTGGCTTCCGAGCTGCGCCCTCACAAGAGGCTCAAGTCAGAGTCGACCAAGAGGCGGGGGAAGAAGCTGGTCAAGACGGCCGACAGGCTCTCAGACATTCGTGAAGAGGAAGAGCGCATGGAGGGCGATGGCCCACGAACGGGGCCGACGTCATCGGTATACGAAATGCCCTGTAAATCACGCGATCTCAAGGTCGGTGATGTCTTGAAGCTGAGCAAGGGACAGCGGGTTCCCGCCGACGTTGTCATTCTCAAATGCATCACCGCAGAGTCCGCCCAGGTCGAGGAAGAGGAGGCCCCCGTAGAGGAAGAATCGCTGCTGGTGGATGCCTTGGACGACGCGGCACCAGCAGCGTCTAGCAAAGGCAAAGACGTGGAGAACAAGGCCGAAGATGCCAGCGGCTCCAACGGTGAGACTTTCATCCGAACGGATCAGTTGGACGGAGAGACAGACTGGAAGCTGCGCCTGTCTTCCCCTTTGACCCAAAACCTCCCGACGGAGGAGCTAGTTCGACTGCGAGTGACTGGTGGTAAGCCTGACCGCAAGGTCAACGAGTTTATGGGTGCGCTCCAGCTGTTGCCGACAAGGGAGGACGCTCAGAGCACGTCTGCCGACCATGGCTTTGGCGCGGACGCGGGGACCACGGCACCCTTGTCCATCGACAATACGGCTTGGGCCAACACAGTGATTGCGTCCCAGGCAACAACGCTGGCCGTCATCATGTATACGGGCACGCAAACAAGGTCGGCTCTCTCCACGGCACCATCAAGGTCCAAGACGGGACTGCTTGAGAATGAGATCAACTCGTTGACCAAGATTCTGTGCGCCCTCACTCTGGCGCTGTCGGTGATTCTGGTTGCTCTTTTGGGTTTCGAAAATACAGAAGACAACCGCTGGTACATCAAGATCATGAGATACCTGGTTCTTTTCTCGACCATTGTGCCCATCAGCTTGCGCGTCAACCTCGACATGGGCAAGAGTGCGTACTCCTGGTTCATCCATCGCGATTCCGGCATACCGGGGACAGTGGTGCGCACCAGCACGATACCAGAAGACTTGGGTCGCATTGAGTATCTGCTCAGCGACAAGACGGGCACGCTGACGCAGAATGAGATGGAGATGAAGAAAATCCACGTCGGGACCGTGTCGTACGCCAACGAAGCCATGGACGAAGTTGTTGCCTACGTCAAGCAAGGTTTCCACATTCAATCAACAGTGGATCCGGCCTCTCAGAAGATGCTCATCACCCCTTCGTCAACTTTTGCGAGTACCGCCAACGTGGGCACCACCCGCACACGGCGAGAGATTGGTTCTCGCGTGAGGGACGTCGTGCTCGCGCTGGCGCTCTGCCACAACGTCACCCCCACAACGGAGGAGGAAGATGGCAAGACGATCACATCGTACCAGGCCTCTTCGCCCGACGAGATTGCCATTGTGCGCTGGACAGAGTCAGTTGGGCTTCGTCTTGTCCATCGCGATCGCACCGGTATGATCCTGGAGTACGCAGAAACAGGACGCCCCACGGTCCAGGTGCGCATCCTCGACGTGTTTCCGTTTACCTCCGAGGGCAAGCGCATGGGTATCATCGTGCAATTTTACGAGACGAAACAGTCGAGCCCTCCCGACCTGAGCAGCGGGGAGATTTGGTTCTACCAAAAGGGCGCCGATACCGTCATGACGTCTATTGTGGCGGAGAATGACTGGCTCGACGAAGAGACGGCCAACATGGCCCGCGAAGGCCTGCGTACGCTGGTTGTTGGCCGGCGACGCCTGTCCTATGAGCAGTACCGAGAGTTTTCAAGAAGCCACCAGGAAGCCGCGCTCGCCATCACGGGCCGTGACGCCAACATGCAAAAGGTTGTGTCGCAGTACCTCGAGCGGGACCTCGAGTTGCTCGGCGTCACCGGTGTCGAGGACAAGCTGCAGAAGGATGTCAAGCCGTCTCTCGAGCTGCTCCGGAACGCGGGCGTCAAGATTTGGATGCTCACGGGCGACAAGGTGGAGACGGCACGCTGTGTGGCCGTCAGCTCGCGCCTCGTGGCCAGGGGTCAGTACATTTACACCGTGTCCAAGCTCAAGCGGAAGGACAACGCACAGGACCATCTGGATTTCCTTCGCAGCAAGACGGACGCGTGTCTGTTGGTCGACGGCGAGAGTCTGCTGCTGTTCCTGACGCATTTCCGCATCGAGTTCATCTCGGTAGCGGTCCAGCTCCCGACCGTCGTGGCGTGCCGATGCTCTCCGACGCAAAAGGCCGAGATTGCGACGCTCATCAAGGAGTACACCAAGAAGCGCGTCTGCTGCATCGGAGACGGCGGCAACGACGTCTCCATGATCCAGGCAGCCGACGTGGGTGTCGGCATCGTCGGCAAGGAGGGCCGGCAGGCGAGTCTGGCGGCCGACTTTTCCATTGAGCAGTTCCACTACCTCACCAAGCTGCTGGTCTGGCACGGCCGGAACAGCTATAAGCGGAGTGCAAAGCTGGCGCAGTTTGTCATCCACCGCGGCCTCATCATTGCGGTGTGCCAGACCATGTACAGCATCGCCATCAAGTTTGAGCCACAGGGTCTCTACAAGGTATGTCGGCGTAGGCGTGCTTGGGCCAGTTTTGTGCGAGCTGACCAAGACTTAGGACTGGCTTCTCGTGGGTTACGCCACAGTGTACACGGCGTTCCCCGTGTTGTCGCTGGTGCTGGACAAGGACGTGGACGAGAACCTGGCCAACCTCTACCCAGAGCTCTACAAGGAGCTGACGTCGGGCCGCTCCCTCTCGTACCGCACGTTCCTCATCTGGGTCCTCGTGTCGGTGTACCAAGGCTGTGTCATTCAGGGTCTTTCGCAGATCCTGACCGAGGTCCACGGGCCGAGGATGGTCGCCGTTTCGTACACGGTGCTGGTGCTCAACGAGCTGCTCATGGTGGCCATGGAGATCACGACGTGGCACCCCGTCATGATTGTGTCGATTGTCGGGACATTTATGATGTTTGCCGCGTCAATACCGTTCCTGGGCGACTACTTTGAGCTGGAGTTCCTGCTCACCCTGTAAGTCTGCTCCCCTCGTCAGAGTTTCTTCCCAGGCACGATCGCTGACAGTCGCAGTGGGTTCTACTGGCGCGTCCTCGCCATCGGGGCCATATCGCTCATCCCTCCGTACGCGGCCAAGTTGATCGGGCGCGCGCTGAAGCCGCCATCGTACAGGAAGGTACAGAGCACATGATGAGGGGGGCAGAGTGTTCGGGTCGGGCGTTACGGCGGGGTGAATACTAGAGTCGGTCAAGGCCGCGGTGCATCAGCTATACGGCGTTCGCGTTATCAATGAATGGTATTGATGAGTATTTTCTCATGGTGAACTTGTGTCTGTTCATCGCTGTGCTGGCCACGGATCCACGGTCATCCCCCACTCTATGCTAGAGCTGTGTAGCTATAAGCTGTAGCTATAAGCTGTAGCTATAAGCTGTAGCTATAAGCTGTAGCTATAAGCTGCAGCTATAAGCTGCGTAGCCTCCAATACATCAGCCACGTGGCTCTTAACGTACACACCAAGTCTCATGACATTATACAGCAGACTGTACAGACTATCCTCAAAGCTTCAACACGAGCCAATCCCGCAGCAACCCCCCCATCTCGCCCAGAACCCCGCCAACACGCCCCTGCACCTGCCCGCCGCCCCTCCACGGCCTGGCGCCCGCCAGCGCCGGACCGAATACGTCTAATCTAATTAAAACAAAAAAAGCTGTACCTAATAACCCTGAGAATAAAGCAAAAATTAAGTATAAAGTACCTATATCTTTAGCATTTGTTGATAAGAATCATCTTTCAATTCCCATAGAAATTGAAGATTCTAAATTTAATATATTGTTTTTTTGACTTTGAGCCATTTGTTTATTTGTATTTATTTAAAGTACTATTTACATAATAGTATTACTTAGCAAAATAAAAATGTAGATTTATAATGAAATTTTTGATGATTAAAATAAAAATAAATATTATCTATCAAAAGTATAAATGTAAATGTTTACATAAATACAAGGTTTTTAATAAAATATTAATATTTATATAGAAACCATTCAGATTATTGCGGTTCGAACGCAACTCTTCTCCTACCCAAAAGGAGCGCCTAACCACCCGGCCCTAATCTGTAAATTAAATTTAGTATTTGTTCTATCTCTTTACTATTATTTCTATAAATTTTATTTAATTACTACAAATATTGATTTAAGTACAATAGATTTTAAGTTAAAAGAATATCTTTTATTATCTTATGAAAAAGTAATACTATTCTTGTTAATTATATTTGTTTGAATACTTATAAAA